TTTCACAGCCCTAATTTATTTACATATGTTGTTTACATCTAGGATGAGTGGACACTGGCGGAATTGATGTGTTGATGATGTTGTTCACATCTAGGATGAGTGGACACTGGCGGACAGGATGAACTTGACCTCTGACCCTGATGAGTTTCTCATCATATCTGCCATCAACAAGTTCAGTACAACTGGTCATTTTTCAGGAATTTTTTTTTTCAATTGGAATGAATGCACTGATACCTCGATATGATTTAATTTCACCAGCCCTTTGTGCTTACATTACAGAGAGAAATTTAATTTAATTTTGCTATTGATTTGGATAATTCATGACACAGCTTGAAAAAAAAATTTTCACAGCTCCAGAATTTTCTTATATCCACTCGATAAGACAGAGAGAAAAAAAAGTTAAGCATGTTGTGTTGTTTACATTCTTTGTGGCATGCTAAGGACATATGCTGACGCACTTTGAAAGTGCAAGGGTCAGGGGAGTACAGTTGTACTTCATTTGTTGCCATCTGCTCGTAAATCTGCCACAATTCATCATGCTAGAAATGTAACCGGTCAAAAAAGCTGAATGTTAATGGCCGAAACGGAGTCTCTTCACCTTTACTCTGAGCTACGACAGAATCTCCTACGTCCGGTCAAAGCAGGTTCTACTGCATTAGCTGCCGTTGAGACCTCCGTCGCTAAATGCCACCAAATCTGCACAGTGAACCTCAAAAATATGCAACAGCTCGTTTATCAAGTACACGTAAGCCTTTGCTCAGCAGCTGGGCTCACATATATGTTCAAAGGTGTAATATGTCAAAGCATCAAAGGGAAATGCCCTGGAGTGGACTCCTGTCCTCTACGAGGGGTCCAAGTTTCAGACTTCACTTTACCAACACGTCTTTGTGAAAAAGAGGGGAATTCACAGTAAGTTGGGCTGCACAAATACGATGCAGAATTTTGCACCAGAAGTGTTTAGTGACTGGAGAACATTGTTGCACTCAGGCTACTTTTACATGTGGTCAAGGTACAGGTGCATCACCATGTGTTCACCCAGAGACAAGTGTCTGCAGTTGGCTGAAGTTCAATGTGTCACCACCCCTCTGTTGGAAAAATGTGCCGCCACTGCGTTGACTGACAGCTGTGATGTCCAGGGCATCGAACAAGTGACTGTGACAGCTGCTGGTTAACACTTCCGCTCCCCAAAACTTGAAGACCTCCAGTAACCTACCACGGACACGAGGGAGATGGACTCACCCTTCACACTATGTCCAAACATTGACTTTGTTGATGGTATAAAAAGCAAGTATGTATGTGAAGTCGGTGGGTGAGAATTTGTGAGAATCCTTTAAAAGTCATAGGTATTTTTTTTATCAATGTGCAAATCTCTATCACTGATTTGTCAACTTCATCACACTCCGCTGTAAATGTAACACAAACTGCACTGCATCAGGACCGTCGGGATTGTCACCCCTCCGATTGGTGCATCCTCCGTCTCTGTGTAGAAAAAAGGAAGTTAAACCAAACATCGCCTGGAGACAGCAATCAAATATGACCACCCCTGACATTATTTCTAGAAGGACAAACGAGCCACCCGTTTGAAATGCGAGCTAACATCATGCACTTCTGACATGCCTCACATTGCTGCAAAAAATCTGACGGCTTTGCCAGGAGCCCTCAGATGGCAAAGTAAATTGCATGAGTAAAGGAGTGTCGCCCCCTCCCACCACCACCACCCCAAAACACATGTGCCAGTCCTGATTGAGTATTTCAACCGCACGGAAGTCACTGGTGCTAATGTTGTAATCCATCCCCGGCCCGTGAGTCCACTCCTCTTAGGTCTGGTTAGAGACAGGCAACATGCCAGAGTTTCTAAATGGCTCTGGCAAACCATTGACACAGAAGCTCATCTAATACACTCTCATACCTGTGTCTAAGTGCTCAGCTCACTGCAGCTGGCTTAAGGCTCTGCTCAAAGGTAACAGAATCCATTCACCGTGCTAGCGTCTCTTCTGCTAAGCTAAACCGAAGTAGCTGCCTGCTGTAGTTATTTCTATTTATTTTTAGAACACTGAAGGAGAAGATTACTCAAACATGTAGGGACTTCTGTGTTTGTTAATTATTATTTTTTAATTAACAATTTATTCTGACGTTGGCCGACGTTTTGAACATCAATTCACGATTAGTTAATGACAACATTTTTTACACCTTGGAGGATTTTGCCACATCTAGTGGTAAAGTTAATTATTGCGGTAAGTGATGGTTGTACTGTGAGGGTGACCGGAAGTAGTTAGTTACATTGGATGAATTAGTAATTGTAATCAGTCCAACTTAGCCTCGGAGGAAAAAACCCAGTGGAGTCGTTTTTGGTTTGTTCCCCTTAAACTGGCATTGTTTCTCTATAGAAAGTTGTATTTTAAAGACCTGATGTATGTGCACAACCACAGATCAGTGTTGAATGTTATTATATTTTTAAAACATTTTCAACTTTAACCATAAATTGATGAAACCAATTTATGTTGATGAGAAGTTCGATGTCTAATTTCATTGTCATGTGACACTGTTATAAAGCCGTTAAAAAGAGAGAGTATTGTTGAATATTCTCTATCATCATCATCATCATCATCACCACCTTCGTCATCATCACCATCCTCATCCTCATCATTATCATCCGCCGCCTCCCTCTCTCTGCTCTCTGCTCTCTTCTCACTGTGTTCTCAGATTTATTCACGTGCAGCGCGCTCCCGCCTCACTCAGACATTCTGTCGCCAGCGCCGTGACGTCACCTGCACCAGGAGCCTCCTCCGCTCTGAACGGTTTCCCTCCGCCAGCGGTCCAGATAATGTAGTTCCCCACGCAGCGGCAGCAGCCCTGAACTTCACTGATGACCTTGTTTTATCACCGCGTGGTATTTATGACATCAATCAATACATAATAATAATAACAGCAATAATAATAATAATAACTTTAGTAAAAGTATTTTAGAATTGGAATTAGAAATAAGTATGAGTAGTATGACGTTTCAGACTGAAATCTTCATCCTGCAGAAACCTCAAATTAAATGACTAGTAGAGCAGCATCTCTAAGGAAATTGTTTAATTGAATATTTCATCCAAAAAAGGCTCTGAAATGTTATATAAGAAATTCTGTCTTTATGTTAGTTGTTAAGTTTTTCCTTCAACTTTGTTTCAATTACTGTTTGACATTATCAATTAGATGTAGAGTTTAATTTTTAAATTATATATATTATGATATTGCAATATATAGTGTTTAAATTAACACTGTTTAAATAATTATTAACACAATGAAGGATGAGGCTCTATAGCATGAGAGACTCACATGTAGAATTTCTAATTTCATTTGTTGTTGTGGTGGAAGATAAAGAAATTTATACCAACATTAAATCAATTTTACTATTTCAACCTTTTCACAATGTTATTAGAGCAAACATTACCAACTGTTCAGACTGCAGGCCACTGACAATAACAAGTACTTTTGTAAGCAAAAAAAATGACACTTCCTGTCCTCATGTAGCACTTTGGTATTGCATCAACGGGCTATTTTTATGCACGTTGATGCAATATTAATGAGATGATCTGAAGACTTGATGGACAGCTCACTTTTGACACTTGAAAATTATGCCTGTGTCCACGTCAGGCCTGAGCTGCATTTGTGCTGACATCCGTCAATAACACGATGTTATCGTTGAAGTATCTGAAGTATCATCGTAAATAAAAGACAAAGTTAAACCAAACCATTTCAATACATTTACTCAAATATGAATATAAATGTTTAAACTAAGTCTATGTGAAACACTATTTAATTGATAGTATGAATGGATGGATTGTACAAAATGCTGCCGATAAGGATTGTTTTTTCTTTTTTTTAAATCATCACAGCTCCATGTTTCACTGCACTGGAAATGCTTTATAAGAAGAGGTAAGATGTTGGCTATTCACATTGAAAACATATTGTTTTAACACTGATTGCGATGAAGGAATTATACATTTAATAGAATGCACATAATAAAACATCACTCTTCATGGAGACTGTTTTTATTCATCTTCAGTGCAATTGTAAAAAAAAAAAAAGATAATGAAATTCTCCATCAGTTATTTTTATATAACAGGTATGTAAAAATATATGAATATATATTTTATATAAAAAGTGAAGCAGGTCAATATGGGGAACTTAAAATCGGTGATGATAGCATAGCAGTTATTGTTGGCAGAATTTAAAATCAGTGATTATAGCATAGCAGTTATTGTTGGGAAATGTGAAATTGGAGGCATTTTCATGAAAAACAGTGCTGCATGCAAAATGTATAGACAAACAAAATAAATAAAAACCAAAAAGCAGATGTAACACAGTTTAGAGACCAGACAATATATGGAGTCCCAAAAATTAAACTCAACTCAAGCCTTGATTCCCAAAATAGAACCAGCTCTCCCATGAATCTACTCCCCACCAATGCCAAACAAGGTATTTAAAACAATAATAAAACTAAAAAAATATATTTACACATTTGTTTCCTCTTACATTTCTGTACAATCCTGGTTTGATGTAAGGGAAATATTCTACAACCCTAGTTTGTGGCAAATATTGTGCAACTTAGCCTTTATCTGATTCTTGTTTTTTCTTTTTAACATGTATATTAGTTAGACTATGGCAGTGACTAATTGTGGAAGCTAATAGGTAAACTTAGCCATAGGGAATAATTCAGTTAAAACACTTTAAATTATCCTTAAATGGATGCCATGGGAGCCTTTAAAGTTGACAGACCTGTCCTGCTTTCTGTCTGGCAGATGTCAAGTTTTTTCTTCTGCTCGAAGCAGGAAACACCAAAGACAAAACACCACCATCTCAGAATGAGTGAAGGCTAATTTAATAATTGTTTTACTCTTACACAACCAAGTGTCAGCGATGTGAATAAGAATGGATGGTGTGAAAAGTAGGTCTTGTTGTTGTCAGTGCTGCATCCCGCGGCGTGATACTGGCGTTTAGCGGGGTGTGAGGCGGCTCCGCGACTCGCTGACGCCAGGAGAGCAGACAGAAGACAGGCATAGACGATCACACACACTCACACATTCACACACACTCGCATACAGAGAGAGAGAGGGAGAAAGCGTGAGGTCTGCCGCGAAAGAAAAGGTAACGTAAACTTCTTAACTTGCTGAATGAAACGTTTCCTTCTCTTTGTTTCTGTATTTAATAGTGTACATGACACTGTTTGAAAGAAAATAGATCCCGACCGAACAGCGCAAGCTCTTTCAAACTTTTCCTTTCAAAATTTTTGCTCACTTTATCTATTAGTTTCAGTTCGCAGTTAACTGGCTTTGTGTTATTTCTTTTTTTTAAATAAATACTTTTTCTGAATATTAATTAAGCTTTCAAGCTTTACTTTGTAATGAAATATAGATCCCAATCGAAAAAGACTGCAGGAAGCTATATTTATTCACAATAACACGCGTGTATGGTGTAAAGCATGCGTTATCACAAGATACACAGATGCCGTAGATAATAAAATATGATTCCACTCATGTTAAACACTCGTAGTCGAGCATTAAGATACAGGAATGATGGGTGACTCCTGTGACCATGAAAAATAAACATTTCACTGTGGCCTACAGTGATGTCCTCAAGTAACTTGGATTGGGTTAGTGTGTAGGTTATAAAACCACAGGAAATGTTGAATTACCAGCGACAGATAAGTCACAAACAAACAAGGTAAAATGTCTAAACTTGGCAAAAAAACAAAACAAACTACAGATTATTGATTTACGCTTAAATATGCCTGGGGTGAAGGAGATAAAGCTGTAGATGTAGAGATATCTTTGTGTGATAAAGATAGAACTTTTTGATGACACGAACTTGACAATGCAGTGTGTAATTTATATACCACTACACAGGAGGTGTAAACACAGGCAGTGTCCTACTGTACCTACCGGTTGGCACATATTGTACTCTGTATTAGGTCTCCTCGAACCATCTTTGCAGATTGATGTGCTTCAAAAGACATGTGTTTTTAGTTATGACAATGTGTTGAGGAATCTATGTGTCAGTGCAAGTGTTTATGTGAGAGAGGGAGAAAGAGAGTGGGAGAGACATTCAGCAGCTAAGGCTAGATCTCCTGATGTCATTGAAGAAGACATATCAGATTACCCAAAGGACAGGAATTTGTCCTTGTCCATGATTTACTTGCAATTGTTTTTATCATGCAGCATTCTCAATGTATGCATCGTTAAAGTTGGTTATATTCTGGCGATCTGGGTTGCAAACGAATATTAGGACACATTCTCCAGGTCTGAATCGGAACACATTCACTGAAGATTGTCGAAGAGTTTGAAATGTACATCCCAGCCGGACGTTTCATTTCACAGGCCTCTATCAAGTTGTCTGTAATCGTCATACAAAAAAAAGCGACTCAACTGCAAGGTGTAAATATAGGTTAGCCACATTCCTGTGTCCTGAGAGTCCGTCACAACTGTGACAGGGTCAGAAGCCTTCTGATGTGTCTGTACAGTCAGGACAACACCGCGCGCCATGTGTTGTGGTGAGGTGTCCTCTCTAACACAACACTGACCCAGCACTGAGTGCCAAGCATGGTTGAGATAGCTGCTTGAAACCCCATGTGTTTGCTAGTTATGTCTACAGCCCTGTGTGGACTAGTGTGTCTGGGACGTAAGGAATATAATCCATGTTCAGGCCCTGTAAGTCTGGACTCTGCTGACCACTGACAATCTCTTCTGTTTCACTTTATATTTGAGCACTCACTGGATTTCTCATGTGATGTCATGTTCACATGATGAGAACTGTGAAGGAACATTTGTACGGAGTGACCCAGGTAAGTTTATTGCCCTCTCAGGTTCACGCCATAACCAGACCCTGAGGAGAAGACCTTTAAGTATGAACGTAGTTATTGAGGCTCAGCAAATGTCATCACACAATTCACTTTAGTGCAGTGGTCCCAAACTATTTTGGATTGTGACCCCATTTTGACATCATAAATTTCTGGCAAACACAGAATTTTTTTAAATTTTTTTTTTAGTTTTTGACCATGTTTGTTATACTGTATTTCAAATACAGAGTAACATTGAAAAAGATTAGTAATCAGAAGAAAAAAATTCCAGGTGATCCCATGTGGGGTTGCGACCCCAAGGTTGAAACTGCATTAAAGCATAACAGGACATAAATTATTACATGATATGTAGGGCAAAACTTGACTTATATAAATAAATAATAAAAATGGTTTTTTTTTTAATCAAATCAACTCTTTATTTATTTGAGTGGAGGAGAAAATGTATTAAAACAAATGCATACATTTTCACTTTACTGAAAATGAAATAGCAGAGACTATTTTACTCCAGTAAAATAGGAAGCTGTCCATATTGACAAACATAGATTACATTGTTATGTTAGTTACCTTTAGTTTAATTGGTATATTAAATGTTTTTCTCCACAGTAGCTGCTCCACTCCTTCTTCGTCGTATTGCTTTGATTTGTGTGCATGTGAAAGAAAAGCATGAATTGCGTCCCTGTAGTGTCACTGTTTAGTCAGTAATGACCCTTGAAGGCACTTAAGTCCAGAAGTGCTCAGTAAAGAGACCAGATACACCAGTGTCCTTCTGTTCCAAACACTCACTCCGTCTTTGGTCTCTGCCTCCGCTGTAACCATCTCCACCCTTTCTCTGTACATCACGCACTCCTCTTCTCACTCTCCTTCTCCATATCTATCATTCTCCGTCTTCCTGCACTCCTCTGTTTATAGCTAGTGACTCCATTGAGTGGAGGCTAATGGAGGCTCAATCCAGGACCCCGCTGATAAATAATGTAGCTTCTTTATAATGCTCCATCCCTGGGGAGGGTCCAGAGAGCATCATTACTGCCTCCTCATCCTACACAGACCAGGCCTAAATTGATTAACAGACACTGGAGCGGTGCAAAGTGATCCATGGGCCTAGTGTAGTGGCTAACAACTCGCACCAGATGGGTCAAAGCCTCCGCCTGCCAGTGTCGCACAATCCCACTCTGTGCCCCCATTAGCCTCAGTCCCTGCCCATCAGACTAACTGATGGCCATAACAAGCTACCGCTAACGCAATAGAGACTGTAGTTCAGACTCAGCTGTAGGGAATGTCCGGGACTTTTATGGGGCTCTAGTGTGAATGATTGAGTGTGTAGGCATCTGTTAGACTACAGCATACAGTGACTCAGTCAGAGGGGGGGAAAGAAATAAGGGAGACTTTCTTTGGGTCAGGGTTAAACTCGAAACACGTTGTTATGGAGAGGAGTAATCATCCCAAAACTAATCAGGTCCAATATGAGACGCCTGTTGTGACATGTATCAGTTTATAGAATCAGTTTAATTTACTTTTTCTGACAAATGATTTGGAGCTTTGTTGAAGACACCTAGAAATACACCCAAAAATAGACCCTGAATAGAAGCTGCTGATTGGTAACACGTTTTGACGAAGATAACATTTTTCAAGTCACACGATGAATGTGAAATACTTTAACAATGATTTTGAGAACAATTTCTTTCATCCATGGTAAAACAAAGCAATCGGAGTTCCCATGGTGACATCAGATCAATTTAAACATTAAATATCAAGTCTGTTGATGTTGACAATCCAAAGTCAAAGGAAAGAATTCATTCACTCCTTTAGAATCAATGTCACGACAAGATCTTTGTCTTTGTAGGAACAATAAAAGACAGGTATGATGGTGCCTTCATATTTTGACTGCTTCAGAGACAACATGGAACTGGCATTGTCCACAGAAGACCGTTTAAATAAGCATGTGCTCAGGCCACAGTCAGATATTACTCTGTCAGGTTTGGAAATATTCAAGAGATATGGTCTCCAGCTGCAGCAGAATGACAGAAGAGTAATGTGAAGCCAGCTCCAAATGCTGCAGTGCAGAACCTTCTGGAATCTTCCATCTGAAATAGATTAAAGCTCGTCTTTGTGCAGCTTGATGTCGACTTGTGCTGATAGTGCTGGCTGTTACTGGGCGGCCAATAAAGTAAGCATCTCCTTGGCCTGAACACAATCAAAACCGAGGGCAGGTTGATTTACTGGGTGCAAATGTGTAGTTGATGTTTTTACCATTTTAAATCAATGTTTTATCATTACGTTTGGTTTTATTGGGCGGTTTTCTAAAATGGGAGCCAAAGCTGACAAAATGAACACCGTTTTTTTTATCTTATTTCACTTTTGTCTTGCTCACTGTCCACATGGGTCACGCCAGTAGGACTCCACCAATTTATGTGACCCAGTTCAACTACAGCTGTGAGTTACATCTTACCAGTCCATGTCGGTGGTTTTAGTAAACGTCCACACCTGTGCCTATCAAGTGTCCGACCAGTTTGTTAGTGTGATGTAGCCCAACAGCTACCGACAAATATAGAGATTGTCTATTTATTCCAATATATGAGGGGCCAAAAATAAACCACTGAGCAGCCTTAATGATGTATTTGTTCCTGCTCGTAGGAAATCCAATATACTGCAGGCTTTACTGTCAGAGAATGATGCATCCTAACCCATGAGTCATTACAGAGCAGAGGTGGTGGACATCTGATAAGCTGGTTATTACATTATGGAATTGTTTCTGAAGACCCACCTGCAGCGCAGCTTCAACTGTGAAGCTGCCCTGTTGCCTTAATTCAGAAGAAAAAAAATTGAAAAGAGTGAATTTGGAAGAACTCTATTGGCCTTTTTGATAAACGGTGTGTATATATACGTATGTGTGTGTGCACCTCCTGGTTTCTGAGCTGCTCCTGTGGGACCGCAGCACATTTATCCTCCACTTCCTTTTTATTGTCGTGCAAGTTGCCAGATTCCTGCCCATTAACAGTGTTTGATGATGGGGGGGTTGGGGGGTCAGGGCTGGGGCTTCTGGTCTTGCAGAACATCTCCCTTTCCTCTGAATCTGAACTGCTGCATCTATTATCAAGGCATATACAATCTAACAGAGGATTGCAAGATGTTGCTTTACCCAAATATGTTAACAAACAAAAAGAATCAGATTATTTATTTTATTATAATAAATTAGCAGTTTGATCTACACTAAGGCCATCTGAGAGATTTATAAAGATTTTTTTTGTATTTAATTATGAGCTGGACTGATTTGATGATAGCTGTGATGTTTAACTCTCCAAATATGACTTAGATAACTGTGACCATGTGCTCACTGTGTGAAAGGCCTTCACTATAGATTCCTGCAGGGAGTGGTGGTAATGTGACAAACCACATGGACAGGAAGATATCTGCAGAATGTGTGGATCATTGGTGGGCGTGTGTTGTGAGTCTTATGCCCTTTTCCCAGAACCTATGACTGACGTAGCGGTTACAGCTGTTGCTGATGTCACTGCCTCGTCACAGCTTTTTCCTGATAAGACATCGCTGCTAGTACAAAAGCACAGAAGGGAGGAAGTTTGATCTTGTAGTGAGGGCAGTTGTTCTGCTGAAAGGAAAACATTCTGAAAGGAAACATTTCTCACTCATGGCTCACCTTTCTCTCCCCTTTTTCAGTTGTCGGTCTTCCAGAGCACCTGATCACTGTGGAAGTGGGGAATTTCTGATAAAAATATTCTCCTCCTGCTGAGCTTGGATTGTTCCCCATCACTGTTCACAACTTTGTCGGAGAGGAGGGAGGGGGCAGGGGGACGGCTACTGGTCCATCATGAACGTCACCTCACTTTTCTCCTTCACTGGCCCGGCGGTCAAACAACTACTGGGTTGGAAGCAAGGGGACGAAGAAGAGAAATGGGCAGAAAAGGCTGTGGAAGCTTTGGTGAAGAAACTGAAAAAGAAAAAGGGAGCCATGGAGGATCTGGAGCGGGCACTCAGCTGCCCGGGTCAGCCCAGTAACTGTGTGACAATCCCCCGTTCTCTGGACGGACGGCTGCAGGTGTCCCACAGGAAAGGTCTGCCGCATGTCATTTACTGTCGGGTGTGGCGCTGGCCGGACCTGCAGTCCCACCATGAGCTGAAGGCCCTGGAGTGCTGCGAGTACCCCTTCGGTTCCAAACAGAAGGACGTGTGCATCAACCCCTATCACTACAAACGAGTGGACAGTCCAGGTGAGAATTACAGTCCAAAATAATCACACATTCTGAATGCACAATTTATGTATTTATTTTTTTAAATATGTGGATTAGCTGTTTAGCAAAATGATGGAAAATCAATCAAGCTGCAGGGAAACCAAACCACTGAGACGACACTGGTTAAAACTGTAGGATGTTCCTCACCTGAAGAAACTTATTTAATTAGTTTACATCAATCAAGAGTGTAAAATATGACCCTTTGTTTCTGTATTTCTCAGAGTATTAGTTACACCTTTATTGTTTAGTAAATCTTGCAAGAAATTTTACTACTTTCAGCAGAACTTTGACTGAGGCAGCGATAAATTAACTTTTAGCTTCATCTTTTTTGAAACTAAAAGTACAACGAGGGTCAGCTGACAAGATAGGAATAGTGGTGTAGTGTGCGTGTGTGTGTGTAGCAGGAAATTCCCTGGAGAATGAGAGCTTTGTTTTGTGCCCCCCCCCCTCCCTTTTTTTATACATGCACCATGTATCTAAAACAAGAACACACACCCACACACACTCACACACGGTCAGGATGGCTATAACAGGAAGGTGGCCACCCACACACAATAAGAGGAAAGAGATGTTGCCTGCCTTGCACACTTTTGTTTTGGGAGCGGGGGGGAAGAGGGGTCCTAAGGTGATTCAGCCCAGGAGCACCTGTCTGTCCACACTTCCCAACCTCCCCTTCCCTTCTTCCCAGAACAAACTCCCATCCACAAACATCCTGTCAGTCTCCCTTCAGCAAACACCACAGCTGTCTGCCTGCCCCACGTGTAACCTTTTTAAATCATTGTTCCGGTGCAGCACAGATGATTTCACCTGCAGGATCGCCAGCAGCAGCAGCACGAAGCTTCATGTACATCTACACATTTATACATTCTAACAAATAAGTGATCGTGTGTGTGTGAGCTTTTTTTATGACCTGCACCTGAAGGGTTTCAACATTGGCCACAGAAAATGCCATAAGATCTAAATAAATTCCCTTCAAATACCCTTCTCTTCTTTCAGCACAGGAACCAGAGAGTTAAAAACTGCTGGCTCCGAGCTGAAGGCTGAAAACAGACATGAGAAAAATGCCGGGACATCTGTGCTCAGAGTCCTTCTTGAGTCTTGGCGGTGCAGGAATCAGATCTCTCTGTGTGTGTGTGTTGAAATTCAGTCGATTTGACTCCAGTTGTAATTACTGTTTACTTTAAAAAAACAATTCAATTTTAGCCAGAGAGAAACATCAAAAAATATTTTGACTCAGTGTCGGCATCAGAGTCAGAAAACGTTGACAATATCAAGTGTTTATTGATGAATATTAAACATGAAAATTCTTTGTTCACATGTTTGTTGCCACATTTTTTTGAAGGATTGCAGCCTTAGTAATAAAAATCTCCTGGTGTTAGAGAAATCCACTTGGTTCCCGAAATTTCTCGGCAGTGTCCCAGCGTTGGAAGTAACTACAGCTGTTTCACAATTTTCCAATAGTTGCATAGTTAAAGTAAATATTAAAATTGAAATACATTTTGTCTGCAATAGCTCCATGTTGCCATCAGGGGGCCTGTCCCCCATTTTTAGAAATTTGGTTAAATCAATTGTTGCAATTTGATTATTCTTCTTCCTCTCCCTTCAGTGCTGCCCCCAGTGTTGGTACCGAGGAATAGTGAGTTCAACGCCAAGCATACGATGCTGCCTCGCTTCCGCAATCCCCTCCAGCAGAATGAGCCGCACATGCCACAGAACGCCACTTTCCCAGAATCCTTTGCTCAGGCCAACACAATGCCCTTCCCGCATTCACCAGGCAACAGCTACCCAAACTCACCAGGCAGTGGCAGCAGCCCCACCTTCCCTCATTCACCATCCAGTTCTGACCCGGGCAGTCCGTTCCAGATGCCGGGTGAGACGCAGCAGGCATCGAATGATCTCTCTACTCCCCTCTCATTACTGAAGACAAACAATTGATTGCTCATTGTTCTGATTTTTTTTCTGCAGAGACGCCCCCTCCTGCCTACATAGCCCCAGAAGAGCAAATGACTCAGGATTGTCCCCAGCCAATGGACACTAACCTCTTGGCCCCGCCTCTGCCTCTAGAGAGTAACAACCGGGCAGGTAACCAAGGTACTTACCATCGTCTCTGTTGCACATTTTCTCACCCACACACGGGTTCCATCCTTGTGTGAAGACATCATAAATGTGATGCTGTCTGCACCTGCTGGCCTTTATCAACACCAGCCTGCGTCATCTGTTCACAGCCCTTATGTCTACTGTGGTCAAAAACTGACAGGAGATTTAAAAAAAAAAAGAAAAAAAAACCTTCGGTTGGTTTGTTTTTTCTGTTTCCTGCCAGATGAAACTCCAGTGTGTAGAAAAAAAGGAATCTGTGAATTTACGGTGACTATTTGTCTGAGGGTGAGAACCCAGGGGAGAAGCAAAGACTCCGTAAATGAAGGCAGGCCTCAGAGCAGTTTTATGAGGCTCATAAAAGACAGAGCTTATGTCACTTCTACCGGTGGTAATGATTTGAAAGTCGTTAATGATTAAGAGTGGCTAATTACCTCCAACGTTTGGATTTAAAATGTGGTGTAGTGCTGGCAGCCGTCCAGAGTCTGTGGTTTTACCATAATTGTCTCATACAAAAGGTCTGACAGAAAAAAAACCTTTTCTTTACCACTAATAAGAAGATGAAGTTCTTATTTATTTATTTGAGATTTTTTTTTAATCTTTAGGAACTGAACTTTTGGCCGTTTACACCTGACCTGAAAAAAGTTTTTTTTTCTATCATGCAACGTCCTTGGGACCTTGGGATTCAGCACACACACGGTGACAACAGTAGCAGGAAGAGGTGTTGAAATGCCTGCTGGCAGCTGGGAGTGTTGGGAGTTTTTTTAACTTTTTTTTTTTTTTTTTTTCCACAAGCTGCATCCTGTGTAGGGCAGTGGGTCTGTATCACAGTCCAGCTCTGGGAACAGGATAGACAAAACACACCTGCTCTCCAGCACCAGGCCACAGTGGATGTTAGGAAGAAGTATGCGCTTAGATAAACATGATTTATCCTCCCTCTCTCTCTTTCTCTCTCTCTCTCCCTCTTTCTCCCTCTCCCTGTCTCAGAGAGTGTGAGGCCAGCTGGCAGTGGCTCACTCTGAGATACCAAACACAGAGAGCACAGCCGGGTTTCTCTGTTGACTGCTGAGAAAAACCCTGGTACGCAGACCACAGACAGTCTATAGACTGAGATGCATCTGCATTGATTTTGGCGCCGCTCTACATGTGCACACATGGAGCCATGTTTGTTCTAATCACTGTTACAAGATACAGAGCAGAATTTAGATAAAGTATCAGTGCAGATTAGCTTCACTCACAGCTGAGCCGCTGCAGGCATCAGTGGTTTGGTGGCTCGCCTGCACATGCGTTGGCAAAGAGGAGGAATTACGAGCACATCAAATGATTCTGCTCATGTCCCTACGCACATTGTCCTCGCTTCATTCATGTGACCCGTCAATGTGTTTCCTGTGCAGATGTGCAGCCCGTGGCCTACGAGGAACCCAAGCACTGGTGCTCTATTGTTTACTACGAGCTCAACAATCGCGTCGGCGAGGCGTTCCAGGCTTCGTCCACCAGCGTGCTCGTCGACGGCTTCACCGATCCCTCCAACAACTGCAACCGGTTCTGTCTGGGCCTGCTCTCCAACGTCAACCGCAACTCCACCATTGAGAACACTCGACGGCACATCGGCAGAGGTGCGAGAGACAAACTTCCGTCAATGATTACGATGCTTTGACTGTTTGTAGCAGACCAGACTAAATCAATCATGCTGTCGATAAGAGCTCAGGATCTAGAGAGAACGTAGACAACAGCACGTTGAGTGGATATCAGTGTATTGACTTTGTAAAATGACCACAACAGTGTTTGGGTTCCCACATGTCACCAGTGCCTCACTCCTTTTTGTGCTCCCCTCCAGGTGTCCACCTGTATTACGTTGGTGGAGAGGTGTATGCCGAGTGTCTGAGTGACAGCAGCATCTTCGTCCAGAGTCGTAACTGTAATTTCCACCACAGCTTTCACCCCACCACTGTGTGTAAAATTCCCAGCACCTGCAGCCTGAAGATCTTCAACAACCAGGAATTTGCTGAACTGCTGGCACAGTCGGTCAACCATGGCTTTGAGGCCGTCTACGAGCTCACCAAGATGTGCACTATTCGCATGAGCTTCGTTAAGGTGACATACTGCATGTTTGTATATATATATATCATCTGTATATATATCATCTATCATCTGTTTCTCACCAATCATGGATTTTTATTTCAGGGCTGGGGAGCAGAGTATCACCGCCAGGATGTGACCAGCACCCCCTGCTGGATTGAGATTCATCTCCACGGTCCCCTGCAGTGGTTGGATAAGGTGCTAACCCAGATGGGCTCCCCCCACAACCCCATATCATCCGTCTCCTAGGCTTTAACGTCCTCAGCCCTGTGGCTGTCCACACCTGAGCATTTCTAAGTAGTAAGAAAAGAAAAGGAGCGGCTGAGTCCCAGACTGGTTTATGGTTCTCCGGTCTGGGACCTGAAGGGAAGGACGGGTGGTTAAACGGGTTGATTTGTTCTTTACTTGAAGGGCATCTGAATTGGGCACATTTACAGACTGGGAGAGAAATAAGTAAAGTGAGCATGATGCAACTGGAAGATACTTGATCCTTGTGACCAACTGTAAAAATTAGACCATCACACTCATCATGATGCAAGTATCCTCCTTGATCTTGCTCCAACGTGTCTCTTTTCTTTCCATTGTTGTATTGTTCTGACTTGTGACGAGATTGCATCTAAATTGTCCCTCCAAAATCAGGATACACATCTGCAGTTAATTGATTGCAGGACGTTCCAGGTCACCAAGTTTGCAGTTGGCTATCATTAAGCGTCTGGCTGCAAAGAGTTTGGCTGGAAAATGAACTTGGAACGTGTAACGAGTTAGCAGTGATTCATTGGATGACCAGTAAAATAATAAAATACTTTAGAGGTTGACTCAAAAATTGGGTGGAAGTACACCCACGTATGAGTATGAATTTCTTCTCCATTGTCCCAGGTCCATTATTTCATCAGAATTACCGTATTTTCTGGACTACGCACACCCCCGTCACACCAGTGGATATGTCGCAATCACATTTGAAAGATTTATTTTTAAACAAATCCAAGAGCGAACGTCTAAACTGGAAAAACTATCAATTTGAACACTAGCCTAAAGAACATAGGCTGCATTTATTAATGAAATGTGTCGTCAGACTTGGCATTAGCATCACGTCTAGTTAATTCGTTAATATCTTTTTCCGCAGCTTTATGATCAGCAATGTAAATTCTACAACATTGCTTTTCTTTTGATAGTCTTTAAAGTTTCGTCATACCGTTTTTTTTAGCGAGACATCAACAGTGTTCTTTTGCCGCGGGTGTAGACAGTGCCCTCTTGTGGCCATTGATGTTATGAGGTATATGTATACCATAACGACGTAGAGCTGATGTAAGAGCAAAACCTGTAGTCCAGATAATACGGTAGATCTCCTCCACTGAGTCTGCCTCAGTGGAACCACATATTTTCTGACAATAGATGACAAATGTTAATCTATATAGCAACGGTGTTTGTATTGACAAATGTAAGACTACATTATCCTTTGTGATTGGATGATGATGGTGAGGTGTGGGATATCGAACCACGTGTCATTTCAGCACTGGAACCACACCTGTACGTGTACAGCGGTGTGAACACGTTGAAAATGTTCAAAACGTGTTCAAACAATGCTGAAGAAATATTTGAAAGGTCGGCGACTTTCTGTCAGTTACAGTAAACATTGGGGTTACGTGTGGGACGTGGCACTAAAAAGGGCATTTCAGAAACTAAGACGAATCTCTTAATGTTGCTCCTCCTGTGTTTTTACTAGTGTTGCAAGTGAATTTGAAGAAAATAGCGTTTAGATATATTCACTATTAGAATATATGTGCTGTGCAGTCTGGTTTTGCAAAGCAGAGTTTGGTTAGTGTAGAGTCACAGGTCTAAGGCTGGTGGCTGAGACAAATATAAATGAGGTTTACAATAATTGTCCCCCTGCTGTGTGTCCTGGAGTCAGGATGGAGGACACTGATGTTTCAGCGACTAGGCTTCCAGCCCTCCTTACACTGACTGAGAAAAACTTGTTAAAGGACTGATGTGGTTAACTGATTAGCATTAAAGTTTTAATTGTTGAGCGAGGAAAGGGGATCTGTCACTGATGTCCTTTTGTTGACCCTTTCCTCTTTTTAATAAAATGCAGATTTTTGCCATTCATCTCTTTAATGCATCCTCTTTGCTATTCATCTGTAATACTCTTTACATTCTTTTTGTATTTTTGGAGAAAAAAAAACAGTCTGTTTTATTTTTGTCTGCACTTTCTTCTATTCCTGTTTTGTTTTGTTTGTTTTTGCTTAGTAAAGATCCCAGAAAAGCAGTTTTATTCCATGAATATCAAGTCTCTACTGGAAGGATCAATAAATTAGCATCATTATTTGCAGCATGTCCTGTTTCTTTAATGAGTTTTGTCTCGGTGTTTGGATTTTGTTTTTGTTTTATTTTTACTCATGTCTCTTGGATCCGCAGCCATCCTTGTTTTGTCAGAGACTTAGAAAAACTAACCACTATCTATGTGTGCGTGCAATGGGAGCAGACCTTCAATTAACGTGGCACAACAATTACATGTGAAAGCCAACAGCACTGATTCTTAAGCATTGCTACAACTTCCCGTTAGTTTCATGGAAGTCATATAAACATGTGTTTTCCTTTGTTTTATGGGCCACATTGTGACAGCACTGGAACATCTACAGAGCAATTGTTCAGGAAGTTCCCCTGGAAATCACTGGGTGACTGGGTGTAGTGTGTATGCGCGTGTGCACACACAGGACGTGGGTGGTATGGCTGCATGGTGGTTAGCAACACTGCCTCTCTACAGTTTGCAAGTTTCTCCCAAATTCCATATTCAAGCACGTTCTGTGGAGTGAAGAGTCTGAAGGTTTTCCTGGTGGAAAATGTCACTCCTCCCTGTGTGTCAGAACTCTGAGGTAGTAAAGTATTAGACGTTTGACTGGACAGAGGAAAAGAAGAAGATTTACAAGATTTTCCAAACAGATTTAAGGGTAAAAACAGTATTATCAAGAGGTTTGAAGTATCCACACAATACAGGGGGAAAAAAAAAAGAATTCAACAATTTAGAGATGTGAGTACTGTAAATTAGTCAGTCCTGTCATGGTATTAACAGGTCACAAAGATTTGTGAGAAAAATTGAGGATCTGTTAAAACAAAACTACATTGTATTTTGTGGGAGCTCATCTTTCCCTCTGTCCCTTTAATGATCCCACTGCCTCCCAGATGAGTCCAGTGACCCTCTACTTGTGAACCAAACACTAATTCACTAACCAATGAGGTTTGTTCCTATTCAAGGACAAATGAAACCAATGTTGTCTATTTTAAACTTTATTACCGAGGTTGCGGTGGGCAAAATATCCAGCATGTGTTTCAAATGGTGTTTGAAAAAAAAGGCTGAAACGTAGCTACTGCTGCCCTCTGCTGGTCGTGCATCTTAAACACAACCATGACCAATTTTAACTTAAGTATAAATATTTTATCAACTACAGCTTTGGTTGCATTAAATTATTACACATGCCGTAGACTGACATTCTTATATAACCCAGAAAGGAATTGCACGTTTAACAGTGAATTGTGAGGTCACTGTTAATAATAACTTAGTATTAATGATGTTATTTTCCCGTTAAATTCTTATAAATCAACATGGCTGTTGTATAATAAAATAAACATTATTTCCAATTACCGTAAACAGTTTTAGATAAGAAGAATATTAACAAACTAAATAACATAAATAGACTAAAATCATACAGTAGTTTGTGATGTCTGGACCAGACCTGAGAGAGAACTGGAGCGAATTCCATTAGACAAACATACTTTAAAAAGTACTTCTGTCTGAAATACTTTCTACAGAACTACACGTGTTTACTGTATATCTTTTTTACACTTTCTTGTGAAGACATTTGATTGTGACATAGTTCGCACAGACTACTCCAATATGGCCGCCTCTGTGGCGCACTGATGTTAATTATATTTTAACGGCACTCATTCATATTTAATGATCTAAATATAAAAAGGAGCAATACAATTAATTATGCTGATACTTAAATGCTACAATATTGTCTACATTCATTTTAAACAAAAGTGCACAGGGCGGAACCATGGACGGGGGCAGCCTCAAACGTCACCGGAAACGGAAGAGAATGAATGAAGCACAGACATGTAACCTGTAACTGCTGAGGAGAAAAGCTCTGGTCCTGGCGTAAGGTCAGCATGAATTTCGTATTTGGCGCTGAGTATTATCATTTATGTTTTGACAACTTAATGTAGTTTTAACCAATGTTGTTAGCTCCCACGGCGACTCCGTGGTCAGTAGGATATAAGAGTTTTGACTCGTGATAACACGGTACATGTTGGTTTGTTTGCTCTTTAGATTTCACAACAAATATTCTACTTTCATTAGCTGTGGACGTTTAACTTTATACTTTGAGATGTATCTGTTAAAACTTCGCAGGTATTTATGAAGGGGAAACAAAGCAACAACCAATGCTTCTAGTCATTTATATAGTAAATAACATGACTATTGCTGCTGCAGTTCTCAAAGTACACAGTCACTTTTTTCGATTCACATAAGATATATTGGCAGCCTAAAGTCTGCGTCTTTAACTCACCTGTTTCTCTGTTTTTGTCTGTCTAGATGCCCCACATTTACCATAAAATGGGGCAGTTGGGCCTCTCCTTCCTCCGCTCCACCAGGACCTGCCCTCTCCATCATAGGGCCGTGATGTGTTCCCACCCTTCCTACAAGGGCACCAGAACGCTGGGCCCCAGCTGTCAGAAACACAGGTGTGTGAGCACAGCCCTGGGACAGCACACACAGGACCTGACTGGCCCGGAGCAGAGACTGGTGACCAAACTGTACCAAGGACTGACCGGAGGACAGAGGGCATCTTTGGCTGAGTCCATCACTCTGGTCGAGACGCAGCATCCCAGGAAAAAAGAGGTGGCGCAAGTGCTGCTGCAGAAAGTGTTGGCCTACAGGGCTGAACAGGAGAGACAAAATGGAGGGCAACCGGTGGCCTTTAGAGTAGGTGTGTGTCTTAAATAAAGCACCATGGTAGCTTAAACTTAATTAACAGAGTCCACAAAGTGTTTTCTAATCTTTATTAGCCTCAGGGGAGTAAAAAGGTCAACAGTTCAGACACAAACTGAGTTTGTGTTCTCTCACCACATGACTATACATTACTAGAATGTTATAGGGAAATGTTTGTTTGTTTGCTAATCTTTATTTATTGAAGTGGTCAAGTTTCATTCTTGTATTTTCGAAAACATGTACTGTATTTTTTTTTCACACTCTTCAAATGGAGTTCAGTTTTAAGAATAGCAACAGAAGCAGGTCATGTAAACAGGCCTTGGTGTCATTTGTCTCATGTGTTGATCTCTCAGGTCTCTCTGGTCCTCCTGGGGCAGGGAAGTCATCCTTCATCGAGGTGGTGGGCAAGATGTTGACTGGACGTGGACACAAAGTGTCTGTGTTGGCGGTGGACCCGTCCTCCTGCACCACAGGAGGTAAAAACATGAAAAATGTGTCAGTTGTATTTCAGAAGATTTATTGAGTAAACACTTGCACCGTCAATTTCACTGATAAGCAAGAGAAGGTGATATTTGCCACAGATGTAAAGACCCCCCTCATTTTACAGGGTCTCTAATGGGTGATAAGACCCGTATGACTGAACTCTCCAGAGACTTGAGCGCTTTTATTCGACCGTCACCAACCTCTGGAACACTGGGGGGAGTCACCAGAACTACCAACGAGGCCATTGTCCTCTGTGAGGGAGCTGGCTATGACATTGTCCTTGTGGAGACTGTAGGTAAGACGCTTGTTTTCCATCATTCCTTTCATGACACATTTACTCGCAGCATAGTTTTGATCCTTATTTGCTCAATAGACCTGTTTCAGTTTTGGTTTAATGATATAAATGAGATCAACTTGAAAAGATCAAGATGATTGATTTGGTCAACTTAAGATTTAAGTTGACCAAATTTGAAATTCAATTAGTTTTTGGACTTTAATTTTTTCCACATTAATTGTGATTTATTTTTGTTTTGTTTATTTATTTTACGGTAAATGCATAAAAACAACCAAATGATTTTTTCCATATTTATTGTGATTTATTTTTTATTTATTTTAAAGTAAATGCATAAAAACAAACAAACAAAAACAACCCCAAAATGTCCGTGAACAACATCTCTCTGTTTTGCATCTGTGTTTTCAGGTGTGGGCCAGTCAGAGTTTGCTGTGGCCGATATGGTTGACATGTTCGTGTTGCTGATTCCACCAGCAGGGGGCGATGAACTCCAGGTGAGTGAAAAACATTTAAGGGGAACTTGTTTCTCCCTATTTTCTCATTGAATTGTGTTGAGAGATTTAGAAATATTTTTTTAATAAATGAAAATCAAAGACAATTATATCTTTTTTGTGATCTGAATATGAATACTGCAAAAACCTGTAATAAATGTAAATCATAACAGATGATCTGTTGCCCCTTTTTAATTTCCTGTCGCACTATTAGAATACACATTTTGCTTTGATTAAACAGGAAACTGCTTTAATCTCCATTTCTTATGAAATGAATTTAAATAAATTATGTTCTAAAATATCTGAAATAAATGTTTATTAGAAACTAGGATTAATGTCAGTGATTATGGAGGTTTAGGCTAATTATTGATTATTTAATGAGTTTAATTTAACAGAAAATGCCTCACCATCAGAATAAGAGTAAGGAAGGAAACTATTTTTTTTTAATTTATTGGTTAATGTCAGGTGGTTAACATTGAAACATGTTTAAAAACACACATCCTTCAGCACAAAACTCCCTGTAAACATTTGATTTGTTCACATTGGGACATCAAATGTAATTATAGTCATTTGTTAATTAAACGACTCCCTCGTCTGATGCCAAAACTTCTGTCCAGGGTATCAAGAGGGGCATCATTGAGAGGGCTGATCTGGTGGTGGTGACAAAGTCAGATGGCGACCTGGTGGTGCCGGCCAGAAGGATCCAGGCGGAGTACACCAGCGCGTTAAAGCTGCTCAGGAAACAGTCCAAGTCCTGGAACCCCAAGGTGTGTATGTGTGTGTGTGTGTGTGAATGTGTGTGTTTGTGATTGCTGGGGTGTGTCTGTGTGTTTGTTTATATCCCCCTGGTGTTTTATCTGACAGTGCAGTGTGGTAGTTGATCCACCAGGAGGAAAGATCAGTCAATTCACCAGAAACATAACTGGCAAGTGTTCAACACTGAACCCACTGGGCAGTTACAGCTGCCGTCTGAACCCTACAAGCCGCCACGCTGAGAGGTCAGCTGACTCGGGAGGCCTGTGGGGTCGGAGGGAGGGAGGGGGAGGGAGATGTCATAGCATCACAGCTCCAGCTCTGCGGTGTCTCGCTGCTTCCCACAAATCCCTGCTCACGTGCCTGTTTGCCCCAGCCTTGTCCTTTTCTTTTTCCCAGCCCAATGCAGCTACAGCTGCCCCACAGAGTGAGCTGCCAGGGCAACGTCCCCCCCCCCCCACTCCCTCTCACCCAGAACACTCACCCCCTGTCTCCTGCTGCTCTGAATACCCCACCGCTGTGTGATTTTTAGGGCTGCACACTTGTATTTAAACTTCACTCATGGCATCCATTTCTTCTTCCTCCTAATGCAGGTTCTTTCTAGACTTTATCTTACTGCCTTTTCTGTTTTCTTGTCTTTGTAAAAATAGATTTCTATATTTCTACATTAACAATCTCACACTGTGTACAAAAGTAGGAACAGTAACTTCATGTAGATTAGATAGAATTAAACAAGAAAATAACTGTTTTTACAGTTGATTTCTTATTAAATTACAACATTTTTAAACCTGGTGGTAAGGTTTTATCTGAACAGTGATTTTCAAATATATATTTACTCAGATATTTTTGTGCTCCTGCAAATCTGAAGCTTTTGCTTTTGTCTGCTTAAATTACATTGTTGCCTTGGATTTCATCATGTGTTCTTGAAACTGAAGAGGAAAAAAAAAACATCAATCATTAAAAAATGAAACGCTGCAGTGACCTCTTTTCCGGAGTTTTTCCCCAAACAATCTTATTGTTGAGGTAACAAAAAAACCATAATTTTGTGACATGAAAAAATGTCCTTCACTATATTGTATCGAAGACATGTCTCTGTTGACATTGACAGAAGACTGCTGTATTTTTGGTCACATCTTCAAGGTGAACTAGGAAAAAACAGTTTGAGGATGATTCAAAGATTCACCTCTCACTCCCCCCCTCAGGTGATGCGCGCCTCTTCCCACACTGGAGAGGGCATCCCGGAGGTCTGGTCAAAGATGGAGTCTTACCGGGATGCCATGCTAGCCAACAGTGAGCTACAGGGCAGAAGAAGAGCGCAGCAGAAGGTCTGGATGTGGAGTCTGATCCAGGAAAATGTCCTGCGTCATTTTCAGAACCACACCAGTGTCAGAGACTCTTTGCCCTACTTTGAGGAGCAGGTGACCAAAGGAGTCATTTCTCCAGGACTGGCTGCTGACCTGCTCCTGAAAAACTTCTCCTCCTCGTTCTCTGTCTCTTCCTCCTCATAATCAACTGAATGACCATCAACTTTCACTTCTCAATAAGAGAAGCATCTGTGCTGCTTTAACTGGTATTTTTTTAAATGAAAATACTACTTTGGCTGAGATCCACACCAGTAAAGGCAGAAGACGTTTCTCATGTCTCACCTTGGACTTCCTGTAAAATATTCACTTTTGGAGCATGGCAGGAGAAGTGCATTAGTGAGAAACGACACTTGGGAAGTTGTGGCTGCTTTTATTTTTAATATACATATTAAAATACATCACTGTAACTCTACTGCCATCATGAGTGGTTTTAATACATTTTTTAATAAAGAACTCATCTCCTTGGCCATATTTTCTGCAGGTGAATGACTGTGACTATATATGGAGGTGAGAAATTGTGCTCGCATGATTGGTCGCAATCACTAATCCAAAATATTTTTTTTTTTTTTTGTTTTAACAAAGGGAGATACTAAAAAGGAACATTAGAGACGTTTACTCCCTTTTTTTTTTTAACTG